TAGGTGTTATGGTGGTCCTGACTTGGTTTCTTGTTCAATTGTAAACACAAAATGAAATGAGTGACTTCTGAATTAAATCAGCATATATCAGAAGTATCAGTGTTATATGGAAAGGTTAAGCTGTCATTCATACACACAATGCTTCTAGTTTATGTTTCATTTTAAGAACAAGATGCAAATACAGTTTGAGCATCTCTACATGAATAGTATCAGTTATGAATGCAGATAATTAAAACTGCAGCACAGAGAGCATGATTCATATTGGCTACCATATTTTCCTGGAAGTTTATTTATAGTCATCACCAAAAAAATCTTAAAATTCATTAAAATTGGAAAGAAACAATGTCAGTCCCCAGCAGCATTTCACCTGCTGACAGTTCTTTCATCCATATTGTTTATGGAAGCAGCAGTATACCACACACTTGTAATTCTGCTTGCTTTTGTTCTCTTGAATGTAGTTACATAAACTGTGAGCCTACCTCCTTTTCATTTATGTAAATAATAACATTATATAAAATGTATTCTGTGTTATCATGTCTTTTGTATATTGATAATATACATTATATATATAGACGTGTGTGTGCGTGTACATATATTCACATCACCTCTGAACATGACTGTTTGGGGAACCTTTGGCAGCATTGCAAAATACTATGAAAAAAAAAGGTGGTATTTTTGGGTCTGCTACTGCCACTGCCAAATGCAGTCCCAGAGTCGTTGAGTAGTTTAAAGAGTTTAATAGATGCAGGCCCAGGATGGTTAAATAGCGTTCTGTAACAAGCACAAGTAATGCTTATAAGCAACATTTGTACTAACATCTAGGGGCATGAAGTAGTCTTTTAAAAGATAAACTTTCTGAAAAGGCACATTTGTAGCTTGGAGAAGCTGATGTCTTGCAACAGGTGCTCTAAGTGAATTTGCCATGAAAAACTAAGCAGAACTAGTGCTTGGTAATGCTACTTGGTTATAATTTTTTTTCATCCATGTAGTTTAATTAAGTGGGGGAAAGACTGTTGCACTGTATGTCTGTCCCACTGGGTCTCTGATCTGTTTGCTGTCTCAGCAGGTCTTCTATACAGCTTTGTAAAAGTGAAAGGGAAGAAAGAGTATATTCAGTAAGTTAGTCAATGGAATTAAAACAAGGACATTTCAGGTGTTCAGATACAATGGAAACACAGTGAAAAAGTAAGACCAGCTCAAGAAAGCAGTATATAAGGTCAAGTCAGTGGTCAGAAGTGTCTTCCCATTCCAAGCAGGGACTCCCCTTCTCTGCATAGCTGCTTCTGAATTGAAGCTCAGTTGAGCATCTGTGGGAGGTGTGTATTAATCAAAGAGGATATGGGCCATTTAAACTTGTAACTTTTCTGTGTTGGTTGCCAGATCAAATCAAAATACTAAGGTTTGAATAGTGCAAACATAGCTGTGTGTTTTCTTGCAGAAAGTTTACATAATGACATTTGTTAGCAGCTGGTGTACCAGAGGGGCATCTATCAGTGAGATAAATTAGTTGTTTCACATGACACAAAATCATACTTTGAACGTGGCTTGGACTGCTAGAAAATCACTTGTAAAATTATGTTGGGAGCTCCTTTTCTTGTATAAGCTGAAATACTCTGTCACCCTTTGTATAGAAAAATTTTTCCTACAAATCTTCGTCCATGCGGCTGCATGCCTATGTCTCTGGGTGTATTTCTTTGTGCATCCTATTTGTTTTTGAGTTACTTCCATGATGAATCGAACTAGCAATGTCCTGTATTTCTTAATTCTCTAGTGATTCGTATTAATTCAAACTCCACTATTCAGTCTGGAAGTAAGATATTCCTTCCTTGTAATAACTGTATCCAAGAGTGTTTATGCATGGTGCATTTATGCTCCCTGCAATGACAGGTACATAGAAGACAGTTTGTGTTTAGTCCAAACCAAAGTTTAAGTACTGACATCTATCAAAGGAAGTATGCCTGGGTTGCTTCTTTTAATAATATACTCTCTTTGTATGTGTGTGTGTATATATATATATATATATGTATTTTCCTAGTACTAGGAGCCTATATTAATGTTAATCCCATCCTGTGTAAAATATAATTTAAGGAATTTAAATTTTGTAGCAAGAAGATAAGGCTTTTGTTTTCTTGCATTAGTTCAAGGATAGCCCTGAAAAAAATGAGAAATGAAAATCATTTTAGCCGTTAAAAAGATCATGATGTATGGAAATCAAGTCACTGAATTATTACTTGGTAGCAAGAAAATTTATATTTTTCTGACTAGGACTTTGAGATGGCTTAAATTGTTTCCTTTAATTGTGTTGTATTACAACTTCTTCGATAGAGCCGATCTATTTGCTGTATGGAAAACTTTGTATACAACTGCTGTGGTGATTTTTGTGTTCCCTGTCTTTAATAATCACAAACCCTTCTATTCTGATGCAATAGCCACTTGTTATTTTTACTGCTAATTGTTAGTTCCTGCTGTCTAGAGCATATTTGGAGAAAGAAATATACTGTTAAGATGCTGCAGCACACATGAGAAATTTTACAATGTGATCCGCAGTAAAAACACAGTAACAACAGGGATGTCTGAAGCAGAATTTCCTGAAAAGAATCCTAATGGAGACAGTGACATAGTTTAGTCAAAACAATGTGCTACTTTGTGATTCAAATATATTATATTGTGTACAATATAATAATGTATTTATAGTGAGCAAAATGTTCTAACAATAAAACTAATGTGACTCATTTGCTAATTTCAGGGCTTGTAATGCAGTGTTTACAGCATTAGACCATTGTCAGGAAGCTATAGAAATAACCAGTGAAGATCATGTCATTCAGGTAGGGGGGAAAAAGGTTAACTATTTTGTAGAACTTGGAGAGAGGAACTCCAAAGAGATCTTTGCTCAGTAGTTTCTGTTTTATTTCAGTATTTTAGTTTTGTTTCCTATTAGAAAGCCCTGTGCAATGAACTGCCTCATTTCTGGATGCCGCACATTGATGCTTGCTGAATTTTAAGACTTTCCCTTCAGTAACTTTATTTAGATGATAATTTTCAGTAAAGTAATGTAGGTTATGGTAAAACCAGCATGAAACCTGTAGCAGAACTAGGTAACTTGTACAGTAGAGAGTTTTATTCTCTGTCCGTGTCTTCTGATAACAGCTTACATATTGCCTTCTGTGTTCAGCTCCTTACTTGAATAATATGCTTCACCATTACATAGTATTTTTATATGAAAAACACTGAATTGTAGGGCTGTGTGGTTATGGTTTTAGGTGTATAACTTGTAATGCGAATAATTATCCTTTAAGCATGTTCTTTTTCATATTATCCTAAAGTACTTTTGTTTTGGCAGTATGTTAATCCAGCCTTTGAACGTATGATGGGATATCACAAGGGAGAGCTTATTGGCAAGGAACTTACTGAACTACCAAAAAGCGATAAAAACTGTGCAGATCTTTTAGACACTATCAATGCATTTATTAAAAAAGGAAAGGTAAGCACATAAAATAAACTCATGCAAAATTGCTTTAGATCTCTGTCCTGCTCTGGTTTTAATGCTCTAGGTTTAAGAACACAAGATGTGGTTTTCATGAGCGCATACATAAGACCAGAATTCTGTGCCTCAGAAGTCTTAGGAGTACAACAGCCTAGTAACAGACAAGTAACTTTAGCTTTGCTTTTTCAGATCTGACTGAATCTCTCTACCAATCTGTTGGCTTAAGATCAATATAAGAGTGTTTTCTGTGTTTCTGTTTTGCTTAGAGCCCATGGAGCTTTTGTTAGTTGGAACATAACAATTTGTCCCACAGTCTCTCAGGTGGCTGCATCATCCAGCCAAAAGGTTTAACTGTTATGACTGCAGAGCCTTCATTGACTGCATGTTTTAAGCACCATGTGGCATAATGAGTTGTGACTAAAATATATCAGCACCCAGTGGGGTTTGTTATTCTAGTTAGAATATCTGCAGTGCACTGTGAACTCCTGTCATGGTGGTGACAGGCCACCAAAGTGCTGCATGTTCCTGGCCATATGTTCCCCTAGTACATGCCACAGTCTCTTATCCCATTTCCTACAGGTTTCAGAAGTACCTCTTACCCTTCCCTGTCTCACCTCTGCTTCATGAACTTTGAGGGGTTCTTGAGCCTTTCAGTCACTTCCAGCAATGATCTGAGCTTTGGGGGTCACTGTCTGGAGTTGTTTTCAGGTTCACCTAGGTTTATTAGCAGTACCTGCAGGCCACACTTGCTTTGCTCCTCCTCATTTAAATAGGCTGCCCAGCTGCTAACACTGCCTGCTCAAAGGCCCTCTGTGTCTTCTGTATCCATCCATCTCTGCCTGTGACAGAGAAGGTATCTTCCACCCATTTTGCAACCTCATCCTACTCTGCTGCCAGGTCATTTCCTCCTTAAAATCTCTTTTCTTTGAGACGGTAAGGAGAGAGAAGCCTTCTGCTTTATATTCCTTTCTTCTCCAATCCTCACTGGAGGATACCTTTTATCTCTGCATCAGTGGACTGCTTAAGGATAGTGCATATATGGCTCTTGGTCAGCCTGCAGTCCTCTTGATATTTCCTGTAAGAGTGGAGATGGAGGGAAAATTAGTGGCCAGAGAGAGAACTGGGCATTTGCATGGGAGAACAGGATAAAAGATGCCATGAAGGAATTGTTTCTTCCTTTTGCTGATCTAGAGCGGCTCGGATATCCATGGTCATGGGAAAACAGTCATGGAGTGGGAATATTGGTTACATGAGGTTAATTGAAGGACGTCCACAGGGAAAGGGCTTCTGAAGTTTAGCATACATATCACTTGACAACTGACAACTTCCCAGCTGAATTGTGCTCAGTACGGTTTGGTTCTGCTGCTCCCAAGGGAGATATTATCTGGATGTATTGCAGCCACCACTGCTTATGGTGGTACCCAGCAAGAATGCCTGTAACCCCTCAAAGTAGATGATTCCTAAGGTTCTTCGTAAAAATTGTATGCTTTCTCACAAGAGAAGCATATTTATGCTGTCCTTACATTAGCAAATGCCTGTTAAAGGTGCTATTCTGTATTAATAAATCTTACACTACTTTAAAAAACAGAACCATGAAATAATACATAATTATTTACTATGTAAGGACTATGTAATAATAAAAAATAAATTAATATTTGACTGCAAGCTACGTATTCTTAGATGGTGTCTCTGTTGTGTGTGTTTGCTTAGGAATGGCAAGGAGTTTACTATGCAAGAAGAAAATCAGGAGACAGTATCCAGCAGCATGTGAAGATAACACCTGTGATAGGCCAAGGAGGGTAACTAACTTGTCCAGAACATTATTGCTTTCCGGTTTTAGGGCCTTTTCTCTGCTTTCATCATCTGCAAGTTTGACATGAATATCCATGTATTTAGTAGCAGGGTGATGATAGAACTACTGACTACAAACAATGTGGAAAGAATAAGCAAAGTGGAGATGGTCATGTTTTTTGCTGACATTTGTCCATTTTGATGATGTCATATGCTGGCTAAAAGAACTACAAAATCATAATAAGTAACGGTCTTACTGCTATAGATACCTGCAAGCTGACATGCATTTCTTCGTGAAGTGATTCTACAGTATCCAAACTGTTACCCAGTCAGCTGGAAGGATCAGCAGCTGGCCAATCCCTGCTTGTGTGCATGCTTGTACGTGCTTGCACCTTTGCAGTCTAGTATGGGCACGTTGCGCAGGTGAATTCCTGCAGGAGCAAAAGGATCAGGTGTCCAGATAATGCTGAAGGAGTGCTTGTCGCCAGTCATCTGTCTGGTGTTGGGGTTTGGTATCTTGTTTCATGAGGGCGTGAAGATCTCTGTTTTAGAAAATACCAGTGTATCACTTCACTTTTGTCTTTACCATTTGATATGGTAACAAGTGATCATTTCTATTGCTAGGAAAATAAGACACTTTGTGTCCCTCAAAAGGCTGCATTGTACCAATGAAAACAACAAACAGGTATCGTATTTCTTTCATGTCATAATTTTCATAGCTTTTAGTAAACAGGTATTTTTTGGTTTAGAAATTGGTATTTTTCCAAGAGGATGTGATCTATATTGTCAATGAGATTCTCATTGATCATTGGAGCGAGCAAAAAAACTTCAACATTTGCATGGGCTGTTCTCCTTTTGTAGGACTGCTGAGTAGAGAGAGAAAAGCTTTAATTCTCTGGAGCCCAGATGTGACAGTTGAGTCTGTGATACTGCAGAGCAACACAGACCATGTCCAAAGGGAGTTCAGGGGCTTTTTTCTAGAGCTGTTCTTGCCAGTCTGGTCTGGTGTACTTATGTCTAATAATGATCTATGCTCAGCTGTCACAAGCTTTACCAGTGTGTGGTCCTTGAATAAAGTGTAGCCCTCATGCAGGACCTGAGACATGGCATGCTTATCAGAACATGTTACAGAGCAGTAAAAGCTGTCATGATTCAAATTTTGATGCAAATCTGTAATGTTTCACTGTATCAGCATAATTATAAATAGCTTGATCTCAGCATTCGGAAACTGTATGGAGACTTAGAAACCTCCTTACGTTATTATGCATTGTTTCACCTTAAAAAATGTAGACGTGTTCTTTGTCATTACCGACAGCCTCCATAAGGTATATCACAGTATGATTAGATGACTGTGTAGGAACTTTCATGGATTTCTGTGCCAGATTTATCACATACAAAATTTAAGCATGTTAGAGTTATGCATAGAAAAAAAAAATACATCTGAGAGTGTATTTTAAGTATTCTTACAGTGAAGAGTTATGAATGGGGACTGACTTTCACGTGACTATTCCCATGTGCTGAAGCCTAGGTAATGATTAACGTGCCTTGGTCAATTTGAGACCTTACAGGATAGAGTCCAGTGTTTGCACATTCATAAATTTACAAAAGAGGTGGTGTTTCTCCTCTTAAGAACATATCGGTTCAAGATTAACTGTGTAACTGCCCTCATAACCTACCTTACGTGGCTTTTTCAGGTCATGCCTGCAGAAGGGGTAAGTATTCAGAACTGAAATGTTTGTTTTATCTTTTCAGAGGACCATGTCAATGTTTTCTGTCAGTTGTGCAGTAGACAGATATATCCATAGGCTCTGAAAGAAGCTCCAGTCTGGGACCAGAATGAGCAGTTCAGATGCCTTATGTCACTGTACCATATCTGATGAGCTCTCTTGGTCTTACTCTGTTTGGACGAGATGATTTCTATGAGAGTTGCTGCATGATTACAATAGAGGTGTTTAAGTTTTTAAAATCATTTTTCTAGAGGAAGAGTTGTTCCTTACGCTCCCTTAAAGAAGCTTTATATGCAGCATGAGCACAGGATTTCCCCTTCCTTTTTTTTTCCCCCTCTTATTCATTACAGAAAGCCACTCCTGAATTTGGGGATTTTTTTTGTTTCCATTCTCTTCCCTTTCACCCTCTTCCCCTCCTCCCCGCAATAGCAAAAAGGGAAGAAAGACGGAAGGTGTGCAAGAATGATGCGAAAGAGAATTTGTATCATTGCTTTCCTTTCTTTCCTGAATAATCTCTGTGAGGACCCTGCAGCATGCACTGTCACAAACTGATATAGATGCTAAAAGTGTGTAAGTGCAACCTTGCCATACTCTCTTTCAACTCACATGTTGCAACCATGGATTTCATGCTTCCATGCAGTCTACTGCTTTGCTATAGGCAGGTGATGGATTTGGTCAGAGGAACCAATCACCATAGATCAGATGACAGTCCAGGACTCCTAAATGTGATGTGTAATGAATAATGTGTAAGTGCAGTGTCAAGCACTGAAGTCTATTCATCTGAAGTAGAGGGTATGTGTATCTTTGCTAGTGACTACATTAAAAAAAAAAAACAACATTATTTTTAGTCATCTTCCGTGTCTTGCACCTATACCTAAGTACATGATGTGCTGATTTTAGAGGGAAGACTTGAGGAACTGAAAGTTCTGCTCAGTTTTCCTATTAACAGCAAAATACTGACTTGTAACCATGTAACAAAGGAACAAGGTGAAGTGATTAGCGGCTATTAAACTATTGGACAGACTGCTTTTGTTTCTGAGCAGGATGGAAAAACAGAGGAGCGTTTCATCTGTGTTATTGTAGAACAAGCAGCAGGTGTAAACTTTTATGGTGGAAATATCCTATTTAAATTCAAAGCAAGCTTGAAATATCTATTGATGGAGCTAACCAAGACGTTTCAGAAGCACAAAGAATTAAGATTTTGTGTTTAACTTTCATCCATGAGAATGATTAAAGATTACTTGGAAATAAACCCTTCAGCTGCTGGAGAGCTGTTTTTGTAACTGAGTTTTTTGAAGTCCATTTTATCAGTCACCCATGAAAGGATGCATCCAAAATTAGCTTAGGTAGTACTAAGAAATTTTTTTTTAATTATTGTACAGAGGGAAAAAAAGGAATATTTTAGGGTTTGGGGTTTTTTTTCTTTTTGTGATTTACTCCTGGAAACTTTCAGTTTCATATACAATTTGCACTTAAAACACTATCTAAAAGTGCATGTCAGTTCTCTTGCAGACACATGCCTTAAACTTAGTTTATGGAACTTAGTACATAGAAGCACTATCATATCTGTGATTTTCTGCATTGCATATCTGTTTGCAACATTTATTTTTTTAAATACCTGAACAGAAAATGCTGGATAAGGACAGTGTTGAATGTAGCCCTTTTAAAATCTTTTTGTGTTCTTTTTCCTTACATATGTATTTTACTGTTGGCGCGTCTTCAGCTTTACAAGAGTCGCTGTGATGAGAAGTACACAGGAGACAATTCTCAGTCAGGTTAGAATACTATTTACCTTTATATACCACTGTGCTTGAGGTCAAGGCCAGGCACTTTGCTGCTATGAAATGTTCTCTCTTCCCTCTGTCGAGTCAGTGGTCAGAGCAGATGGCCAATGACGGATGCCAGCTGCTCTGATGTTGCACCACAAATTGGATTTGTAACCAGTATTAATAATTCAATCTCCTGTGCAGAGCCCTTGCTGTGCATTCAGAGTTAAGATGGATTGCTCTTCATTGTATTAAGACACTGATCCTGAAGCTGCTGTACCCTGGCACCCCTTTGTGTTTGAAATGAATGTGGAACTGTGCTGATTCACGCCAGCAAATCTGCCCTCATGTTTCCAAGATTAGGACCTGTCAGCAAGCCACTGGTTTGGCCCCAGCACAGGGCAAATGTAGTTGTCCGTACTGTCCAGGCTAGAGGTGGTCACGTCCAATTAGTGCTGACGTTGCAGTGTGTCTGTACAGCCCTTGCCCTGTGTCTTGGGCAGGTTTGCTTACTTGCAAACAGCATGTTCAAGCTCTCAGCAACTTCTGCAGATAGCTTTTGACTAAAGGTGTGGAGTATAAGGGGATAATCTTTTCTTCCAATGCTGTGTAATGTTTGGAATAAAACCTTTTCCCTAAAGAAAGGAGGCACTAAAAGGCCAGTTCTAAACTGGTGATTCTAGTGATCTGAACCAGATGCAGCACTGCTATCTCACTCTGAATGAACATGTTCTCATGTCCTGTTACTTTCTGGCACTCAAGGCCCTTCCCGCTCTGAAACACTGGACAGTGTTGCTGTGCAATGTCAGGCAGCTTCTGATTTTCACATGGGAGGAAGATATAACATACCAAGAGCATGGGAAGTGACTGTTTGGCATCCACAGCTTTTTCAAGTACTCTAAAAATATGTACAAGCATTGGAGAGCATTGTGATGCCAAATAATAATGGGCATGGTGCAGAAGAGACCATATATGCAATTTGCTGCTCTCATTACCATTGCTGCCATCAGAACTGATCCACATTGTGTTAAACTGCTTGCTTCTTTGTCCCTGTAATAAAAGCAGGTTTTCTTTCTCACTGTTTCTTTCCTGCAAACAGGAAGGTGAGAATGCCCATGAAGTAAATTGAAGAACACTTGTTACTAGTTAACACGCTGTTACTAGCTTGCTAATGTGTTTTACAGATTATGTGGGGCATTTAGGTTTGCTCAGTATTGTAACAGATTTCAGCAAGTTTGGGAAGCCACATCCCATGAAGCCATATTGATGACTACGGTGCAGTGAAAGCAGGCAACCTTAGTCACATGTATATGTACGTTATCCTTCCCTGTGGTCCATGGTTGTGCTCCAAGAATAAATTCCTGGAGCCATGGGCATATACCAGTATGTGATGAGTGTAGAAAAATAATCCACGTGTATTGAGCTGTTTGCAGTGGTGTGATTCATAACAAATGTGCATGGTGAAACATTCCACCAAGTGAAAGAATTTTTTTTACTTAGGCATTTAAATATTTTCAGCTGAAATTATAGCATGACACAGAGTAGCTTTTATCCACCTGTGACTCTCTAGGTGGCACTAGCAAAGTTTCAAACTTGCTAGTAGGTGTTTAACACAAGGACAGTTGTCTTGTCAGCTACTGCTACTCACAGCTATGTTTATGGGTAAATGCTCGCTCCCATGCAAGTGCCTTATGTTAAATTCCTCCAAATGTTAATGCAGGAAAGCGATTTGAAAGAGGAGTTCTATCAAATAAATAAGTAATTTAATATGCATTAGTTTTGTCCCACTCTTAGATGTTGACAGAGGAAAATGCTTTCAGTTTCTCCAGTCTGGACTACACAAAATAAGACCCAAGCTATCTTCTAAATCTGTGGTAAAGAAAAGAGTTAAGACAGAAACTGTATCTCAGTAATTTTTAAATGGATATATTTTTAATTCTGAGGAATTGTATATTAACATTTTATTTTGCTAAAGACAGGCTGCATATATCCTGCCTTGTAACACTATTATGCAAATTGATTCTTACGTTAGGAATATCAATGTTATGATATCTCTGATTTTTCACATCATGGTTATCTCCTTTTGAAAGCTTGCTGGGGTCTCTGATCTTTGTGTGGCATTTCAGATACCTGGGAATAGGTACTATAGAGACTCTTGCAAAGAGGTGCATAGATGCACAGTTGTTGTTTTTAAACACAAGGGAGAGTGCAGACTGTAACGTTTTAGAGGAAAACAAAATTTTAGAATTTTTTTTTTTTTTTGAGGCTCTTTCCAGGCATTTCATCCAGCTTTTGCATTTGTCTGGATGTGATAATTTCTCTAGCTTTAGCAAATGGCAGTTTCAAGAATGACAGCTTGCTGTGTGGTTAATTTTCACAGCAACTGAATTGATTGTTTATAATCATTCTCAGTATGTTGGATTTTTCTTAAACACAGGGTACAAACAATTATTGCAATTAAAAGCAAAAGCTATCTGAGTCTGAATTGTGCTTGGGCTGGAAGAGTGTAGACTGAGATGGGATTTTTCTCACTTGGCTAAATTTCTAGGCAGTTAAACTCAGGCTTGTTCAGTTCTCAGTGGAGAGCAAAAGGGACTTGCAGGAGGGGTTCAACCCACCTGCCTGAGACATCTTTCCTAAAGCAGGATCTTTGACAACTACAAGTAGAGCCTGGAAGACTGCTGCTTTTAGGCAGCTAAAGTTAGGTGAAACGACTCCCCTGTTCCATAAAGCATCTTGACTTTGTGAAACAGCTTTCCAGGTGATTTTAGACAAGTTGCTGTAAACTGATAGACACTAAGTCCATTGTTCTGATGTGCAGAGATTACAATATTTCCCCCACTTACATGGTATTGTTAAGATAATTTAATTAAATGTTCAGAATTTTAGATGGAGTAGACTCTGTAGAGGTCTTACTTGATGCATTTTTAAAGTTGTTTTTTTGTATTTACAGAATCCCATTCCTTCAAATGCAAGAACAGAAGGAAAGACTCAACTGATGTTAAGTCAATAACATCTCAAAGTAGTGATGGTAAGAATGTAAACTGTCAAGAATGCCACTATAAATAAAGAACAGACTTGCCTTACACAAATTGCAGAAGGAAAGAGGAACTAGACAGATTCAGAGATGATTAAACAGTGATTACTCCAGTTTTTTACAACTGCTGTAAAATTTCTTTATTCTAATTTGCAAAACAGTGGCCCAGCAAGAGAATAAGTCTTATGGAGAGCAGCTAAGGGAACTGGGGCTATTTAGTCTTAAGAAAAGGAGGCTGAGGGAAGAAGACCTTATTGCTCTCTACAACTGCCTGAGAGGACATTGTAGAGATGTAGGTGCTGGTCTCTTCTCACAGGTAATTAATGATGGAACAAGAGGGAACGGACTCAAGCTGCACCAGGGTAGGTTTAGACTAGACACTAGGAAAAATTAAATTTCACTCGAAAGGGTTGTCAGGCATTGGAATGGGCTGCCCAGGGAGGTGGTTGAGCCACCATCTCTTAATGTGTTTAAAGGTCGTTTAGATGTGGTGCGTGGAAATATGGTTTAGGGGTGTACTTGGTAGAGTAGGGTTGATGGTTGGACTTGATGATCTCAAAGGTCTTTTCCAACCTGAACAACTCTGATTCTATGAGTACCAGCATCACTGCACAATGCACACAGCATGTGGTGCCTTCACGCAGAGGAGTGGCTGTGCTGCGGGATGGGGGAGCCTGCTAAAAGTGTGTGGTGAAGCGTTAATTCCACCTCTCTTAGAAAGCTGCAGCTTGTGCTCCTGAACCAGTACTTTGGTTTCATTAGTGTGCAAGATGAAAGGATCTATGGCTGCTAGTTACTTGAGAGCAGTATCTCTGCTCCTGATCCCATCTGTGACTGCTTGCTAGGGCTGGGACAGTGGTGGCAGGGATTTCTTTCTGCCCCAGTATGTAGTGAGAGAAGCACAGCTCATGGGGAGCAGGAACGGGTTTCATTAGAGAAGCTGTATGACTAAGGGACATACACACAGACTCTCATAGGAGGAGCCATGTCTGACAAAGGTCCATTGCAAAAAAGGGAGAGTGGCAGGTACTGGGCATGAAGTATAATACAGCCTAAGTACAGCTTCATTTCAGCATAGCTGAAGTGATGGATGGACAGAAAAACTGACAGCAGAAGTGAGGGGTGGCTGCAAAGGAGGAATATAACAGCGTAGGAAATTAAACAGTAAAGCAAGAACTTGCAGGAGGGGAGATAGAGGAGAAATGGGAGATGAGGCTGGATTCTGTCATGCTGTTCCCCAGGGACAGCCTTCTGCACTCTTTAAATGCTGTCATCTGATTTACGCTCTGTGGCATATAAATGGTGCTCCATCTAACGGCAGCTCCAAGTTTACAGACCCGACGGTACTCTTCCATGGCGAGGATCCATTCCATGACAATAGAAGCTCCTATCACAAAGGTGAGTCTTAAGCACTGCGTTTTCCACAAACTCAGAGTTTGGAGTTGCTCTTATAGGGAACTATGTAGTTTGTGGCAGGACAGCCAGGGTTTTCCTGCACCTTGTATTTAACAGAATAATTTAAATAAATTTTTTCTCTCTTACCACTTTCTGCATCTCATCATCTCATTCCAAATCTTAGTCATAAGGAAGAATGTCAAAAAGGGGAAAACGGTGTTCTTGCTAGATGCGCTACTTGTGCAGAAAGGGGACCCTGCTCTGTTGGGCCGTGCATGTGTAGGAGGACATGCGCTTCCAGTCTCACCTTTGATTTTACCACTGATATTTATAAGATAGCATGCAGAAGAGGGAGCACCTGCACCATATTCTGTCTCCCCACTTGTCTGCAGTCTTTTCTTCGCCATCCGTATTACACAATTTCTGCTGTCACAAACCAGCTGCACAATCACTTGTCCCGCAAACCAGGGTGCCTGCCATATCCCGCCCTGAAGCCGTTTTTTCCTCTCTCCCCATCTTCTCTCCCTATCACCAAGCTCTTTACTCCCCAGCACCACTGTGCCTGTTAAGAGCATCTGACTCCTTTCCTCTTCCTTATCACCAAGCGTACCTGCAGAGAGGCCTGTAGTGTCCCTACAGCAGCTTCTGGTTGCTGGAGAAGACAGCACTGGGGCTTTTTCCCTGTCAGTCCTGGCAGTGCCAGGAGCAGTTCTTGGTGCTGCTGTGTTATTGCTGCATTCCCAGATTGCAGCTGAGACACAAGGTAGGAGGCAAAGAGCCACCCTCCTCTCCCTCAACCACCGCCCAGCTGCTTCTGCTCTCTGTCCTCCATTTTCGCATTGAGAAAACTAAGGCTTTACATTGAGTAACAGGACATCTGAGTCACATCCAGGAGCTTCTTTGTGTGTTTTTTTCCTCTAGGGACTGAATGATTGCTTCTGAGCAGCCCTGGCTATGCCAAAGGACTGAAACATGGCTAGTTTTTCATCTACCCACCTGCAACTATTTCAGATATTTCACACCCTTCTGCTTTCACTTCCCACGATTTTGCCAGTTATAAATAGCAAATGGATACCAGGGAATCTGAGCACAAATTTACATTTTCAGAGTTGTACTTCAGGGGTTGGGAGGAATTACATAGCATTTGCTAAATGGGAAGTAGCATAATCAAGCCAAGAATAAAGATATTGAATAAGAAAAGACAAAAGTGCCAGTCAGTCTTCCTCACCTACCTCCTTAATCTGCTTTCAGGTTATTAACATAATTAATGCTGCCCAGGAAAACAGCTCCATCACAGTAGCAGAGGCCTTGGACAGAGTTCTGGAAATCCTGCGGACAACGGAACTTTATTCCCCTCAGCTAGGTACCAAAGATGAAGATCCTCACACAAGTGATCTTGTTGGAGGTCTGATGACTGTGAGTAAAATTAGTAAAGACAAAATTACTGCTACCAGTGTCCTACATCACAGTTCAATGCTCTGCTGTGCTAAAATTTCACAAGCAGTGAGAAGGAGACTAATACTTCATCACCATTTCACTTAAGTATTTTGACCTCTCTACCAACAGTAGGCACCAAGATGTAGGAAGATATGGCCACGTCTCAGTCCATTGGGTGCATTAATCTTCATATATAAGTGAACACAGTTGCCACTAGAAATTATATCATCCAATCTGATGTCTCAAGGAGATGATACCTTTTAGAAACCCTAGAAGCTTAGATGGGATTAGAGGGATTGCTCTACAGCTGGTCCAGTGTAAGACCGACGTTACTTTAATTAGGTTCTGACTTTGGTCCTCTAACAGCAGCAACACTGTCTGCCAGAGACAGACTGCCTACATTTCATCATGGATTACCACAATTTTTAATGTACAGAGGGCTAATCCTTGTCAAAATAATATAAAGAAAATGAAAATAAATTATACTGGGTAATTTGAATAATGAAATCCTGCAGGTGCCAATGAAAGGGTGGAGCGCAATTCACTGTACAGTTAATAATATCCTTTCTGGAGATCTCACACTAGTGTTCCTTGGCTGCTTTCATGTCTCTTTTGAAAGACCTTGAAACAAGAATGGTGCTTATAGTGCTACAATAGGAGCTGTGCTTTTAGTTCCCAGGAATAGTACCTAAAGAGAAAGTGCATGTAGTCATTTTTCAAATAATGGTTACTCTGCGTAAAACTTACGATAAACTTGCTTTTTCAGGATGGCTTGAGAAGACCATCAGGAAATGAGTGTGTGTTTTCTAAGAGTAAGCCACCATTTTAAACTTCCCTTTGCATATGTGACTTCTTTTGTAAATGCTAGTGACATAAAGCTCCAAGCTAATTTGCAGTGGGATGTATGTCTCTGGAAATTGTCATCTAAGTGACTGCAGAACGAGTGCTAGACTGCCTCCATTTTGGAGTGGAAGCAGGTTCAAATAATTAAAATAATGCATTTCAAAATGTCGAAAGTTAGACTGGGGAAAAAAATAAGTTGTCACTCAAAGAAATGTTTGCTGATCTTTTTGGTTTATGTCCAAATAATCTGTAATAATATAAACCATATATATTATAGGCTTTTATGGACTTTTTCATCTAACAAAAAGAGTTGTTTTTCTTGAAAAAGAGTTGCTTTCTAAGTGGGATTCTGCATGTGGGGGGAAAAAACTAATCCAGAAATGTTGTAATTCCTAAATTCTATTTCAACAGATATGAACTTGAGCCATAGTCACCTTTCAGTGCCAAACACCATCAATGATGTTCCACCCTGTATTGCACAGCTGCTGGATAATGAGGAAAGCTGGGATTTCAATATTTTTGAGTTGGAGGCTGTTACAAATAAAAGGTACTGGACTCCTTTCCCTGGGTGTCCACAGAAAGGTTATTGAGGAGCTGTAGCAGAAAGCACTTTGTTCTGGAAAAACTGAAGCAAGACAGAGCAAATCCGTGACAGCGGTCTTTCTTTGTGTGTGTTTTGCTACCACTTGACCTGTTTAAGAAGCCAGGTATGCGCCATGGTCAAGATGCATGCACAGGCCATGGAGAGCTCTGTGCAGATTGTTGTCTTCCCTGACAGCATCTGCAGCCCTCCAGGATTGTTTCCTGTTCAACTTTTACCTTGCTTGACTCCCGCCCATTCTGTCCAGGTGACACTGTTTGGCACAGTCTGGTCTTGTTACGTGCCAGATGTCCTTGCGATGCCCCTTTTTCCTGCTGCTGTGCAAATGGTCATGCTGGAAAAAGCAAGCCTCTCCCCTCCCTCACCAATATCGCCCTATGATTTAAGAAGCTCTGAGGCAACTGTGGCTTTTGATTATAGGGATAAAAAACTGTGATGGAAGATAAACCAGTGATAGGATCAAGAACTTGAGATTTTAAAGCTTATAATGAAAGACAACGTCAGTAGTTTTGAGGTTGTGCAGACCACAAAAATAAATAAGTCATCCACAGAGAAAAGCGATTTTCATTCCAAGATGCAAAGAATTGGAGAGAAATGGCCATTTTTGGAATTTACATTTGCCTGGGTTTATTTTGCAGATGTTGGCTTTAGGTTATGCCTTTCTCAGCTGAGGAGCCCTATAGATCATCTTGCAGGAGTGAAAAATGTGACTGATAGGACCCTGTCACACGCAACACACATTAAATGACAACCCAGAGTGGATTTGGATTTAAGAACCAACAAGATTAGAGATGTTAATCTATTTACTGTTTCATACACAGGCTCATTGCTGTCCTCCCCAGCATTACTTTCACCAGACCTCAAGTTCCCTCCCCAGCCGGAAGATCTCTGCTGACAGGATTCAGGACATGACACTTCTGTTTAGTCCAGCCCATAACATTTGAAGCAAGAAAGTAGCAGGCTTCTGCTCGAGAGTTCAGAAGCTCAGTTTTAGACATTAACCCCCTCCAAACACACAATCACACACGCGATCCCCATACACCCAAATGTACACTGTCTGTTGGCATTTGGAATTCAAGGGGGGAAGGTGTTACCAATGGCAGACTCCTGCCTCAGCTCCAGTCCTCCTAATGCTAGAACAGTTCACATGAAATGAACCTGATGCTAACAGCTGCTCTGAGAAGCACCAATATACTTTGCACAGTGCCAATTTCAAATAGTCAGGAAGTAGAAATCTGGACCCCCTGAAGTCACAGGGTTATTTGAAACAGTAAACATTTGACCTTTTTTTGTCTTGGGGCTTTTAGCCTTTAGGATGTGCCCATGTCATGTTCGAAGTCTGCTTTTTCTCCTCGGGAAGAAAAAAAGTATTTTTGATTGATTCACAGCTACAAAAACACAAAAGACCTGAGCTTTTAAGAATTTTTTCTGAAGCCACAATAATTGGTGAAACTAGTGAAACTGCACTGTTCCTACAAAACATATTAAAATAATTCTGAAAGCATGGTAGACATAATTTTTAACCTTGGCGAGGCTTTTGAGAGGTTATGGATGTGCAATTTTAAAATGTTGTTCCCCCCCCCTTTTATTTTTAAGGTCTTGTTGGTTTCTTTGTCAAAACTATTGCTGTTTAGAACGTCAGAAGTTTCTATTTTACAGTGGTGCTTTTGTCTTCTGTTGTTTTTTAGGCCGCTAGTGTATTTGGGCTTGAAAGTTTTTGCCCGGTTTGGGGTCTCTGAGTTTTTAAACTGTTCAGAAGCAACACTGCGAGCATGGCTGCAGGTGATTGAAGCCAGCTACCACCCCTCCAACTCATACCACAATTCCACGCACGCGGCAGATGTCCTGCATGCTACCGCCTTCTTTCTCGGGAAGGAGAGAGTTAAGGTATAACCATCACCTAGGAGTCCTTTGGGCTAGGATTTTGGTGTGTTTGCCATTTTATGTGTGACATTCAAAAGTCAGACATTTACTTAAATAATGGCCCTGGCTTCATAAAGTCTCTTTGTCCTTGAAGTCTTCCTGTGATGCCTGCAGGCCCACACAGTTTCTCAAGAGTCTGTTTAGATGAGTAAGGAATTTACATTTTTAAGTAGCAATCATAGGGGTGGAAAGCCTGGCCCTTTTCTATCTCTTGGTAACCAGCTCTTAGTAACAGCTCTTAATAAAGCTTTGCAAAAGCTTTGGAGAGGGAGGTGCTGATCTCTTCCTGTGATCCAGTAATAGGATGCATATGGGAACGGTTCAAAGCTGCGCCAGGGGAGGTTTAGACTTGACATTAGGAAACATTTCTTCACCGAGAGGGTGGTCAAGCACTGGAATAGGCTCCCTAGAGAGGTGGTCGATGCCCTGAGCCTGTCACTGTTTAAGGGGCATTTGGACAATGCCCTTACAACATGCTGTTACTTTCGGTTAGCCCTGAAACAGTCAGGCAGTTCGACTAGATGATCATTGTAGGTCCCTTCCACCTGAAATATCCTGTCCTGTCCTACAAGACACAAGCCATGCAGGAGCAGAGTCAGTACAGTCATTCAGGCAGGTACACAAAGTGGAAGTACACCATGAGAGGATCCATCCACCATTAGGGGATTTAATGCAAAGGTATTGCTTAGGTGACAGCACAGTAAAAAGCTTCATTAAGGAAACAGGGTTTGGGTAAGGGTGGGAGGAGTTTTGAAGTAGGTAACCTGTGGGTGCAGTGAGTGGAAAATGACTGCAAGGAGGTAGGATCCCTGCACTCAAGCTTAGACTTGCATATTTTGGGTACCTGGAAATAATCAGAAATTATTTGCTGTAACTTTTGTGACACATCATAATTTTTCTCTCTTCCTATAGGGAAGTCTTGACCATTTAGATGAGGTAGCTGCCTTAATAGCTGCCACCATTCATGATGTAGACCACCCTGGACGGACTAACTCTTTCCTGTGCAATGCAGGCAGTGAATTAGCTGTCCTTTACAATGATACAGCTGTATTAGAGAATCATCACACAGCACTGGCATTTCAGCTTACAAGTAAAGACAGCAAATGCAACATATTCAAGAATATTGATAGGTGGGTCTGCTGGAGAAGGGAAGTGTGCGTGTGTGGATTGCTTGTTTGATGATTTTAGTTTGGGGCAGATTGAGAACCTACCTTCTAAACCAGAAAACATAATTTAAATAGAGACATTAATATTTAACCTCTTCCAAAATCCTGTGTAGACATGATTTTAAAAAAAAGGCTTTCATTTCCCCTCCCTGTCCTCCAATTTATATTTTTTTGGAATCTTATAGAGATGTTTAATAATCTTTTATGGATTACATTGGCATCGTCCACTTGGCAGCCTCAAGGCTGCATCTTGACCCACTGCCTTTTCATTGCAGGAGCCTGGAAACAACTTTTTTGGGTTGTGTGTTTCCACCCAGGCAGACAAATGAGGCACGCTGCATCTGCATGTGGCTCCTTGCTTGCTGGCACTGCTGCATTCACATGGGAGAGACATGGGGGGGCGTGGAGGGAGCTGACGCTCTGGGAGAGTTGGAGGCACCCTGCTGCTGGGCATGCATGTAGCTTGGGAGTTCTTATTGCATCAGGCTAGCTTGTGCAGGGACAGGGTAGAAGAGAAAGGGAGCTGAAAGGGAGCTGAAAGGGAAAGGGCCTGACCCCAAAATGGTAATGAATTTGTCTACCCCCATAGCACTGTTGGCTTCTGAAAAACCTGAAATTTGAGTTCCAAGCTAACATACAGCAAGATGGAAATGTATCGGTGCCATTCCTGGAGAAGCTGTCATAGTGCAATTGAGTTGTAAATTCTTACTGACTTTAGGGGATTGCTTTTTCATTAGGTAAAAATAACAGAAAGAAAGGCAATACAGGAATTCAGAGCTGAAGGAATGTGGAGAGGCATGATATAGTCCATTCCTCCAACCCTAGATCCCTAGATTGTTCATAACTCTGAAGGTGCCAGCTCATGTGGATGAGCCCCCAAGCAGTGTTTTGCAGTGCTGTCTGGGCAGAGACAAGGAAAGGACAGAGCTCTGTCTGTCAGGGTTGTGAGCAGATACTGGTTTTTTTCCCTAGAAATCACTACCGGACATTGCGCCAGGCCATTATTGATATGGTTTTGGCAACGGAGATGACGAAACACTTTGAGCACGTGAACAAATTTGTGAACAGCATCAACAAGCCAATGGCATCTGAAGAGACCAGCTCACATGTAAGTGCTTATAGGACTTTAGGCATTTCAGTGAAGTTCTTCTGAGACAATTTAAGTATCATTTGCATTCACCACTCACATTGTATTAATTTGCACTGTGGTAATGCCCAAAAGACACAATTGGATTTGTGACCTCTCACCTCAAAGTGTGAAACAATACTTTTACATTCTTGTTTTCTATGTCTGGCTCTGCCCTTAGCTCATTTAAACACTTCGTTTTATAAGCCTTGCCTTCAAAGACATCTCGTGTTCAGAAAACATGCTGGTGAGCACCTTTGTACATGCAAAATTCTGTGCACAGAGCCAGGTCAGCACTTGTGCCTACGGTCCCGCCTCCAAACAGTGGGATTTGCCTAAGCCTGGGGTTGTAACTGAGGAATCTGCCCTGACGGTTTTGTGTCTATGTAATCTAGAGCCCTCAAGCCATGAGGAATAACTATTGCTTCTTGAGAAGTCTCCGCCCCATCCCCAGTCCTGATTGTACCAAGAGATGTCTGGGCCTTTGCACCTATCAGTTATACACCCTAATGCTCCATCACCAGCCAGGAAATAGATAGATATATATAGAGAGAGATATATATATATATATAGATATAGATAGATATAGATATTTCATAAGATGCCTCTGAGTTTCCCAGCCTAGGCCCCTCTTTACCTTCTCGTAGCCTCTCGCAGTTGAGTGCTCAGTGTCTGACAGGTTTCGCCACAGCAGTATTACTCACCTAAGCAAAGACCATCTTATCACAGCTTGGTAAAACTAGTGCTTTGTTAGAAACATTAAAAAAAAAAATCATACCAAACTGAAGATCAGTGGTATTAAAAATACATAAAAGTAGATTCTCTCAGTTTTCCATAACTGGACTTTTCACACTGTAGACTGTCATGGGTGCAGAAACGAGTCAGAACTGGTGGGGTTTATGACTTTGGGGACAGCATTACATCAGCTGAACTGACCTGCACCTAGGGACTGCTGATGTCTGTTCTCCCAACAGCTTAGGCTGGAAATTACAAATGCTGCTGAACTTCACTGGCTCCATGGATGAAGGCTTTGCAGTGTACTCCCCAGCACCTCCAGGCTCTGGAGGGCTCACTAGATGTGGCACTAGGTCTGAATTAGCCCAATCACCTTCAGTGTCAGAAGTCCCACAGCACAGGGGGACACGGTTTGGGCACTGCTGGGGGCCCCTATCACTGTTTCTGCTCTGCACTCCCAGCACCTCACCTGGTGCTGTGTTTCATGGGGTTTTCCCTCCTGGCACAGGCTAAGCCAGGACAGTGGGGACCTCAGTTTAGATCAAAGCCCAGATGACAGGAAGGTCCACATCAGTAGGCAGCACAGAATTACCCACTCTCAGGTGTCTTGGTACTTGCACGTAGACCACATAGCAGCTTGCTCCACCAATTTCTAAAAAAGCTCTCTGAGATGTCATTGGGAAATGTGGCTTCTCACAGTGCTTCATTTCTCCCTCTGACCTTAAGCATTTTTCTGAAATGTTTTCTCCAACTCCACCCTTTCAAAAATCTCTTTAGTTTTCTGGCATCCCCACACTGGCCTGTAGGATTTAAGATTCACAAGCCTCACTGAAAGCATGGTGTTGCCATTTTATCCCATGAATGCATTCGTTCCAGCACTTCCTTAAGAGATTTTAAACGCTCTCCATACATTCTACTGCAATCAGTTTTTCTAACCTATAGAAAACATTTTCTTGGACTCACTCTGCTTTATCTTACCGGTTTATAGCAGAGGCTATTTTAAAATGTGCAAGAGTTGGACAGCAATAAAAGTGGAGCACAGAACCACTTGTATTACAGACAGGGGTTTTTTTTCCCCACAGTATTAGGCTGTTCTGTTCCTTATTGTTAACAGTGACTCTTCCTGGTTTTGATCTTGAACAGCAGTTAAGGAGCAGGGTTAATTTGGCAGCTCTTTGCTGGGCTACCCATGGTGAAAAAAAAAAATTAACTGCTAAACATAAAGTTAGAAGATTAATGTCTGAATTGGCAAGAGTCACTGCAAAATACCTCCCCATAAACCACAAAGACATTAATTTAGCCATGGTGGTAAAAAGAATTTATGTTCAATTTTTGACTCAAGAGTTGAATTTAGCAGTGAAGGAAGGCTGTAATTATACAAATATATTATTTTGAGAAGAGTGTTAATGCCATGGTGAGCTGAGGTGGAGACTTTTTATTACTCAGTAACATAACATACCTGTACCCTTCTAAACTGTTCAAGATCCAGAAGATGATGCCACAGCAGACTTGTAACAACTGCTCTGTCCCATCTACCCACTCTCGAGAGCAGTCAATCAGCAGTTTGGTATTTTACTGCCTAGCAAGCACAGACTTTCTGCATTCTTGCATTTTCCTACTGTTAATCTTGTAGATTAGCTGAGACTTCATCCTAGCTGGTAACTAAGACCAAAAGTATTCCAGGCCGAGGGTTCAACATCTGGCACAAAGAAGGCAGCTTTATTTGCAAACATAGTGGAACTGAATGGCAGTGACATGCTTTTCTGCCTGTAAAAGAAACAGTTAGTGGTGCAAGTTGGTTCACCTCCCGCCCCCCGTGCCTGCCTCAGGTTTCTCATCCAGGAATAAAAACAAACTCTAGAAACTCCTCTAGATGAAGCAGCCCCCTACCATCACCACCCCCAAATTTAAACACTCGGCAGTGAGGATGGTTTATCAGCTTGCAGGTCGTGGATGCACACCCCTGTTCTGGTTCTGTTCCAAGAGGGCAAGGCTGGGATGCAGAGAAGGGTAACTTGCCCTATCTGATAAAGAGCCTGTGACTCCTTTATTTCACAAACTTTGCTATTAATTCTGAGAATCTCCACAACTGTCGTATGTAATGGGGTTATCATTAGTTACTTAGCAAGGCTGCAGTTCTCAGACATTACTTTTCCCTCCAAATTCTTGGTGCTCTGCATGAAATTAGAAGGTGTCAGGCTGGGTGCCTGCTTACTGACAAAGTGCAATAGAGCCGATAATGATGCCTTCGCTCCTGCTAGTGGGGCTGCTGGCCACTGGCCCCTGTAACCAACTCTCTTTTACAGAGTGAAGGCAGCGACTGTGAGTGTACAGCCAACATAAAGAATTTTCCAGATAACCAGACACTGATCAAGCGCATGATGATTAAATGTGCAGATGTAGCAAATCCATGCCGCCCCCTAGAGCTATGTATCGAATGGGCAGGGAGGATTTCAGAGGAGTATTTTGCACAGGTATGTATATTTTTATAATTTGACTATTATGTTTTGAAAGGAAGTGTACATCAGCTGGTCTGCCTGGCATCACCATGGGGTCCAGACATAGGCTTTTTATCCCATCAGAACTGGCCCCTCAATTTCATGCACAACAATTCACTCCATTCGAAAATAGGTAGTTTGCTCACCATAAAGCTTGTGGTACAGAATGGTGGAAAGGAGGTTTTACACTTTCAACTTTCTCTGTCTGGCCAAGACAAAATTATTTGACTAGCCTTAGTCAATTTAATTGGCTGAAATTCAAGACCATCACCATTCTAGCTTCCCCAAAGACAGCATGAAGACCCTGAGTGATTTAGACTCAACTGAATCACTGGGCTGGCCCTTTCTCTTCTAAGGTGGCACCTGAACTGTTGTCATGGTAGGCAGACAATGTGGCAAGCAGCCACTGCAGGTATGTGGCAGTGAAAATACTTATCACATGGGCTCTCTCCAGGCAGAACAGGAAGCTCAACTTCCTTTCTTAAGATTCAGTTTTTCTAACACAAATGTACCAGCTTCCTGAAAGGGAAACACTCTTCTAGTTCTTTATTTGAACAACCGATAAGATTCTTAGCTTTTATTTGCCACTAATGGTGTGGAAATCAGCAGCCATGACTGGAGAGACAGAAAAGCGGGCATGCCTACCATCCAAATTCAGATCATAAGTGTGATAGGGGATATTATTGAAAGAAAATTGTAGTTAGTGCCTGGGACATGTCTGAATTTCATTTTAATCACAGTGAATAAATTCAGTCACTTCCTAGGTAAGGTGAAGGATCACTTAGGGTATCTCCCTAGCACTCAAGGTATCATGAGCTAGCTTTAAATTGCCAATCTTAGGCTCTAGCCTACTTGCAGCAATGTAAAGTGCTGAGAACAGTTCTGCTCTTCATTCACCCCATCTCTGTTCTGCTGCCAATTCCAGCATTAGGTGCCACCTATACTACTTAAAGTGGGGGTTTGTAATTAAATTCTAAGATTCTAGAGCTAGTCTTCAACCCTATGGAGCGCAACAAAACAAGCCCTCTTCCAGTAAGGGCATATCCTTACTTCTGTTCATCTTATAACCCAGTATGAGCAGAGAAAGTAGCGACAACAACATCCCTCTTATTTAAATGACAAATGGTTTGAAACAGCCACTAGAGACATGGAAAAAAGGAGATCAAACCTGTCCTCTGCTAAAGGACGCTGCAACTCCATTTTCCACTTTTGGCTGGTGTGCCCTAATCACCAGATTAGAGTGTTCTGTCTCACCAGAGCTAAAAGCAATCACACCACTACAGTAATAGAGTACTTGTGAAAGGGAAGAGATGTTGATTTAAGTCCCTCTTCCAGGCTAAATAAAGCACACGAAACTAAGGCAGTTCACCTCAGTGATTCTAAGGTTTGTCTCAAATCTCCTACCACAATTCATCTAATCCCCTGGCCTTTGCTACTCCAGCATGGAAGCCAGCAAAGCTCTAGGGGCTAACTGGAGTTTTGTTTTCTTAGACTGATGAAGAGAAGAGACAGGGTCTGCCTGTTGTAATGCCAGTATTTGATAGAAACACCTGCAGCATCCCCAAGTCTCAAATTTCCTTCATTGATTATTTTGTAACAGATATGTTCAATGCATGGGATGGTAAGTACTTCTGATTTTTTCTTCCTTGCGCTAAGGCAGAGATTTCTACAGACTAAAATGAATAATCTCAAGCTGGCCTTGAGTCCATTTTTTTCAGAGGCAGTACCTGTGTATAAGCAGTGCAGTACAGGATCTCAGCAATGATGCTGCTGAAGCCCCTTTCACTGCACACACCACTAGCTTTATGGAAGTTCAGCGCTTATCAGACATCTGTGTAAAGGAGGAAGGAGTAACAGCTTAAAACTAAGCTTTTTTTCATCTAGGTCTTTTTTCTTCCTTTAGCAATGTGTTTCTTCTGAGCAGCGGAAACTGAGACCACAGTGGCTGCATGTTAGCATAATTTAATAAAGTCATCACACATTAAGATAGGGATTTTCTTGAAAGAGAAACATATCTAAAAATCTTTCCCTTTTTAGCATTAGCTTACAGCTGAAAGAACAAAACAGAGTAGGAGAATGCCAATTTCAGCTGAGGCTGGGCTGTTCTTCTGCCTGCTCTGTATACATAGTATAACTGTTTCTCCTGTTCATTTCAGCATTTGCACATCTGCCTGTTTTGATGCAACACTTGGCTAATAACTACAAACACTGGAAAACACTGGATGAGTTAAAGTGCAAGAGTCTCAGGCTCCCCTCAGAAAACAACAACTGACACTAAGGCAGAAAAACAGACCTCTTGATCTACCAGTTCCACTGTGAATCACTTACTGACTTGGCTACAAGAGGGATGGTGTTTCCTTTCCAGTGAAATTAAGCCTGCACGGCAAGAAGGAAATATTTTGTTCATCACATTTAAGTGTCTCTGAATCCTACAGAAAAAAGTGTTTTCAAAAAGGCTACATAATCCACAAATGAATAAGTGCTCTTTGGAAATAACATTTTGTGGTAGAAAATGTACTTCTGAAGCAAATTTCTAATACTGAATATGCATTTGTCAAATCATGTAACTGATAGAGCTGTATTCACTAATACTTCACACAACTGTTTCTCAGAGGGATAATCTAGTCACCAGTAGAGTAAGAATAGGTTGACAAGTAAGCATAAAAACTTCCCACTTATCTAGCATAAATTTGCTCCAATTCTATCGTTCTTCAGCTCTCCAAATCATAGTTCTAAAGAGAACACACACACTGGAACAAGTAAACCTCAATAAATTGGATACAGTAAAAGCAAACGCTGTGCCATTTAAAAGAACTTTCTTATTACAGGGATTATCTCTCAGAGCACCACCTGTTCTCTTTCCTTTTCCATACAAAATCCTGCTAGGAGTCAAATGCCCTTAAAATTGGTCACATAATGGAGGAGAATAAGCATGTTCTGTATAATTGGTGCCATCCACACATTTCTCTGCCATCCCACAGATGTTACCATGCAATGTCAAAAAACCACTGCAGTACTTGATCAACATCCTTTTTATAAAGTGGTGTTTGTATACATGGTCAGCAATTTTATTAAACTGATCTAAATTTTATGATAAGTCCATATATTGTACTACTTACATCTAGGGTGAACCTGGCACTTTTTAAAAAAGTTTCCGGGTTATAATTTATAGCAGCATTATCATTTGTACTGCTTTTTCCTTCCTAAAAATGCTGGTTTGTTTTGTGATGTAAAAAGTATTTCAAAAGATGTAAATACGTTAGAAATCAAACATAGTTTTTCATTAGTTTTAAGATACAAAATTTATGCTAAAGCTTCCAAAGCACAAATGCATATTTTTGTACATCTCATTTTAATCACACGCAGAACATGAACATAAGTTCAAATTTTAGATTATTCTCAGACTACTGAGTTATAATACTAGCAGAACTGCTGGTTTTTAACACTGTGCACTCCAGGCTGCAGGCAAAAGCAGCAAAGCTGTGGCTACAGTTGAAGCAGCAGTCCACTACTTATTAAAAGGAAAAGGTCTCAAGACATACTCTTTACCTTCCCTATGCTGCACCAAGAATGGAACCCAGTAAAGGAAAAAAGAAAAAAAAAGTTTAGATTGCTGTGGAAGAGAAGTGACAATGATTGTTGTTTACTGCAGGTAGCTTACATAATGTGCCAACCTTTTTTGTATGTTTTGTACCAAGTTCTGAAACAAAAGGACACATTCATAAAATCTGTGTGCAGAGAAATGTATATAAGCTATATTTTTGTTAGAATTGTAACAGAACCTTACTTTTGTCATAGCTAAGGCAGGTTGCTGTGTATTAAAATGCTGCATTGTGTATACTTGAAGAATAGTGTTTCTGGTGAGGTATGTTTATTCATTCTTTCTTATAATCTATTGCAACATTCTTCAATGGATTTTTATTCAGACAAGCTGAACCTCTGTTTTTTACACTGTAAACTGTTTGCTTTTACCATTCCTTTATCTAGAACTAGCACTCTCAGTGGTTGTACCTTAACTATTCTGATGACTGAACGCTCATTGCAGCTTGCATTAGAGAAAAGAATTTCACAAGATCCAAAGTTTGTCATCTTAATTTAATTTGTTAAATACAGCAACATGGTAAGACCACATCCATGTAAGAACATTTCAACTCGTTATTTTTGTCACATTTCTGTCACAAGGAAGAAAATGTGAATGGCAAAAGGAACCTAAGAAATAAAGTTCAGCCTCAGTTCTGGTTCACGAGTTAAGGCATTAATGTGGAATCAGTATATTTGTTGCAAGATCCTGTGTTCCCTCCCACAGTCAGAGACTAAGCAAAAAAGTAATTTGTGTGGAGATACGTCCTCTTTAAGAGCAAGAGAAAATCAGCACAGATTAATCATCATCTGCCAGCTGTGTCTGATCTCCTAGACACTAACCTCTCCAGCTAACAGCTGCTTGTTTTATGCTATTGTCAGTGCACAGATACATAAAACTGCCACCTCACAGCTGTAGAAGTACTACAGGTAGGGCTGATAAAGATACTTACTTTCATGATATGAACATATGGAACTCTGTGTTACTGTCAGGTAGAAAAATTTAAAAGGACATAAGGTGGAAGTAAAATTTCTGGCCTGGTCACCCTAATTCTCCTCACTGCCCTTCCCAACAGCAAGTGACAAACTCTTATTTAACAGGAGTGGGCATGGGCTAGTATAGCCTTACTGTGTTCACCGTTATGCTCAAAGTTCATTTGTAAAACAAAGAACTCAGTTTAATACTTTCAACTAAACCATCTTTAAAGGAAGAGACCCTTGGAGGATCTGTAACCAATGGAGTGTATCTGAGAACAATAGCACTTTTGATAAATACTTTTACATGCATGCAGGCCTATTGAAGGCTGAACTACATCCCTGTAAAATGCACAGTGAGCTTTGTGACCAGAACTGTTTAGTTAAATAGGTCTGTTTCTCTATCAGGTATTCACTTAAAAGCAGCCACATAAAAATGAAATAGTTGTTCTCATGGTATAGGAAGAAGAGAGAACAAAAAGATTATGTTTCTTCTCTGTAGTTATAACTGATTATAGCAGTAGCCTCTCAAAAACTGTGTTTTATAAGCTTTTGCAGTAAAGTTTTAGTAACAATGTGTAAACACCACCTTTTTATACAATTAAACACTTACTTCTCAATTGAAACAAGCATAAAAGAGCCAAAGAGAAACTTATCTCCCCAGCTTGTAACACAGTAGCCAAAAATGCAACACTTGCTGATGAAGACAAGCTGAAACAATGCAGACTAACAGGCAGAAAGGCTTAACATGCCTTCCTCGCCCAAGTTTAATATCATATACCCAAAGGCATGTTATCAGCTGCAATCTAAACACCTTTCCTACGCTGGTCTATAGAATAGCCACCCTGAGCAAAGAACATGCAGCTCAAGTTTTAACACTGACTTAACCTTCCTGAATTGAAGGGAGAGGGTAATTTAACAATTTCTCCATCCGTTTTGCATTTTTGAAGTATGTAATTTTGAGCTCTGTATGCAAATAAGATTAGTTGTACAAGTTAAAGTGGGGGGAAAAAATACAGCCCAAAATTTTACCGTTCCTCTGCCCTGCTTCCAGGGAAGATTATGGTCAGACTCAAGAGGCAAAGCTTGGCTTCTGAGTGGCAGTGGGAAAGCAAGTGCCCATGGGAGCTGGAGGAAACAAGTCTAAAAGGCTCCTTGGTTTCTTCCAGGAAGCTGGAGCTTCCTCCTTTTGCTTCTGCTCTTGTCAAAATCTGCTTCACCCTTCATTTTTTCAATTGCACTTACTGCAGCCACTGCATCTCAAGTCTGGAATTACTGTAGCGTCGTATACTGAAAACAGTGCTCAATGATTCAAAGTGAAGAGATGGCACTAAAGAGTTGCATGACACTCCCTCCTAGACTGTTTTAAGTGCTGGATCTTCCAGGTAGACCCAAGGACAGCAGCACCCCTTTCTACATGGCTTTACAACTACTATGTTCCTGAACTCCCCCCTTCCCTAGCTCTTCTCTGTTCAAATGGTAACTTACCACTCATTACCTCATCCTCCTTCCCACTTTCTTTGTATCAGTTCTGGGTTTAACTTTGCCTTTTTTTTTTTTGCTTTTGAGTTATGTTGCTTTAGTTTGGGGGTTTTGTTTTAGCTTAGCTTGTAGATTACTGCTGCTATCTCAGACTTGGAAAAGGCATTGTGTATTTAAAGGCTTTTCATTTTTAAACAAATACCATTCATCCTTACAAACTTGGTGCAGATTTCTGAGAATTTAGTATTCATTTGGCAGAAGTGTTTTGCTCGTATTACACACATCAACTGCTGCTGCTTAAGAAAGTATTTTACATCCTGAAAACCTATGGTAAGGCCAGTGCTTTTTATTAGATACAAATTAATTTGATAAATGCACTATGGAAAGACTAAGCTAAACCAAACACGCTTCATGCTAGACATGGTAATGGTGCTGTATAAACTCCAGTAGTGTAAGTTAACCCACAGTAAAACTGCAGCTACTGAAAGTGAGGAGTATCTATATACCTTTGCCAAAAATTAAAAGCTGACAAACCAGTATTGCTTACTCTTCTTTCATGCTCTTAACCTTGGTGCAGGATAGGAACTTCAAATGCAAAAATTCTGTTTGAGAACTGTTTCTTTTGGGGGGTTTTGTAGATACATAAATCTGAGCTGTGACTAAAGTTTAGCTTCATGAAATAAGTTACATAAAGCTGGAAGCCTCAGAATTTTGTCTGTGCCTCCTTTCACATGACACTGGAATGCCCAAAATGCTTTAGTTATGATCCATCTAAGGATTTTCACAAATCTTAATTAAAAGTGATATTTTTAAACATTAGGAATAATATTAGCAAGTATCTAAGGAGTCATCATTATCTTCAGTCTTTCAAGAGAACATCATTTCTGCTGACAGAGGAAGCCAAGTAACTTTCAACATGCAGAATTCTCCTTTGAGAAGAGTAGTAGCAACTAATAAAAGTTCCAATATATGACATTAAGTGTAAACCTTAAAGGTAGTCACATCCCCAGTAACTCACACTTTCCCTGACACATTTAACACACATCGTTTATACATATGTAGCCTGTATTTCAGCGATTTAAAGTTTGAGTTGCAAATCACCATTTTGTGCCAATTTTTGAAATAGTGTTAAACTGCGGAGTCTAGATTCTCGTTCACCATCCTTCCACAAAATAATGAGGTGGTCAGCAGAGCACGTAGCCAGTCCCAGTTCACCAAAGTACAAGAACATCTGCA